GTAGAACGTGGGCGACATTGATTCCTGCCCGAAAAATAAAGTTGAAACAATAATCAGGCATCCAACCAGCAAGTCAACACAATACATGTACCCAAAAAATGTTGGTTGTGTGAAACAAGTATCATCCTTACATTGCGAAGTGCCAGCTCTTTGATGAGTCGAGGAAGTGCCTTTTTGAATGGGCTACGGAGAGATTCTGGAACTTGGACACGGAATCCTCGCGCAACCGAGGCTTGTGACAGGAGCTCCTTGCATGCCTGCAAATTTTGCAGCTGTAGGAAACGAGGACAAAAAAAATGAGGCGTTGTCACAGACGGGTTGACAGGTCAACGCATCTTACCTTCATGCCAAATCGTGTATCAGGTTTGTCAATGCCATACTGGTGCAAAGAATAAACCAGACATTCAGACCAGCAGACAAAGTTAGTCGTGTGATGACGGAGAAACAACAAAGCTCAACTGCCTCAAGGAAACGCACTTGCTCCATCGCCTCTTGATAGGGCATGCGCCGAAACGGAAGCTCGAGTTTCATTCCGTGCACTTCAAGCCAAGCTCGTGCTACAATCTTTTCAATGACGTTCTGGATGTCGATGGGGCGGATGAAGGACATTTCCATGTCCAGCTGGGTAAACTCGGGCTGGCGATCGGCGCGAAGATCCTCGTCGCGATAGCAGCGAGCGAATTGAAAGTACTTGTCGACTCCTGCAACCATCAGCATCTGCTTGTATTGCTGCGGGCTTTGCGGGAGGGCAAAAAACTGGCCAGGGGTCCTTGTCGGCACCAGGAATTCTCGCGCGCCTTCTGGAGTGCGTTTGAACAAGGTGGGCGTCTCCACCTCCAAGAATCCTGCCAGTAAAATGACAAACGGGCAGGCAAGAGGGTCCAGAAGATAAATGTCAGCAACCACAAGAAAAAACAAAACAAAACAAAACAAAAAACACAAAACAAGTGTGCTGTTACCTTCATCGGCCAGGACGGATCGAATGACCTGCGTGACCTTTGATCGCACTTGGAGTGAGTGCTGGAGTTTCGGGTTGCGCAGGTCGTAGTACCGGTGCTGCTGGCGAAGTTCCTCGCTCACGTTCTGTTCATGTAAAAAAAAAAAGGTTGGGTTCTTTTCGACAGACTGAAACCCCCTGCTTTTTGTAGGCGCCTTACCGTTTGTTGGTGATCAAACGGCACGAGCGTGGCGCGATTGAGCACAACCAAGCTACTGGCAGCGATTTCGACTGCCGAGGCTTCAGTCTATGTTTAGGAAACGACAACAAGCTAGATTGTGAGCAGTTTTGTTTGAACATCCATCTTCAAGCAAAAAGCACCAAGTGACACGCTTATCTTACCACAGCAGTCTGCGGTCGGGCAGTCACAATGCCAGAAATGCTAACAACTGACTGCTTCGGAAGCTTGTCGATCAGGGCGCGCACTTCGGTGAAGCCGACAAAGTCCTGTTTGAGTGTTTTGTTTGATATTTCCTCAAATTGTCAGCAAGACAATGCAAGCTGTCATGGCATATGAAGCAACAACAGACAGAGCAAAAAAGCCCGACCTCTTGGCGGAAGACAACTTGAACAGAACCATGAATGTCTCGGATGCTCAGAAAGACGTTGTCACCAACGAGGCTGTTTTTGTTTTTGTTTGGAAATCAAATCGCAATCCAAAGGCAAAGTCCGTCAGCAAAAGTCGATTGATGAGTTGCCGAGGGAATGAGGACGATGGAAGCGAGAAGGAGAAGGGGATTCCGAGATTCTGAGCAGCTAATTCTCAGACGCTTAGAACAACAACAACAGCGTCTTTGCCTCCTCCCCTTCCCCAAGATCAGACACACACACACACACACACAAACACACACACACACTCACACACTCACTCACCGTTTGAACTCGAGCCAGCCTGCCACTTTGACCTGGTCGCCAATGCAGGGGATGCTGCCTGGCTGGCCGACAGCGGATTCCGCGTTTGCCTTTGCGACCGCGCCGCATGTGTGCGATCGGTAGACGTCGTTGAGCTGTTGGTCTGCGTCGTGTGGCTGCGATGCACGATGCTGCAGTGTCTTGACTGCTGCGTGATTGCCGTTGGCTGAAGCTGCTGCAGGTTCACTGCGAGTGGGATTGAGATGGATTGCTGCGAACGCCAAGACGACTGCTGAAGCCGAGCACCATACTGCCGCTGCTGTGCGCACCATTCACGACAGCGCACTCATGACGCGATCGATGATGATGATGA